CATTACTGCAAAATGCACCAACAGTGCAGCAGGTGCATTGCATTGCCTTTCATTTTAATGGTACCCCAAATACACACCCTGGCCGCACTGTGATCGACTACACCGCAACACACGGTACCCTATTACCATGCGTTGCGGTGCAGTTGAAAAAAGTATTACAGTTTTAAGTTTTTTTTTCGTTAAAGTCCACGGGCAGGAGCTGTAGGAGAGAAGACGGAGGAGGACCCCTGGCGTCATTGGTTGCTAGGCCCGTCCAGCAGTCCTATCAACCAAGGGCTGCAGAAGAGGACCACTGATGTCCTAGCAACCAAGGACTGAAGAGAAATGTGGTCTGAACACGGACTGCTTGCTGACCTGTGCTAGGCTATGGCCAGTGCATTCACTGTCAGCAAGCCATAACGGAGAGCAGGTTGGCGGGCCATACAGCCACAGGCCAAGGGCCGGGTACAGCCCATGGGCCATAAAATGCCTAGGTCTGCTGTAGAAGAAGATGCTATAAGCAATACTTAGCTTTCCAGTAGCCCGTGTGTTAAAACTCTGTTGTGTTGCTTCTCTTAGGATTTTGATACAAATGTTTTTGCCTTTGTTCAAAAATATATAAATAAATTCAAAAGCCAATTGCTAGTTCTGATGCCCCTCACCCCTATCTTCACAGGAAAAGTTGCCAGCCCCATTCCATACTCATTTTTCAATCTGGTGAGATCAGTATGTTCGAGGGAACTGAGCGGGAAAACGCTGCAAGTGAGCATAACCAGCCGGCGGCAAGTATGATTAGCCACCCACCGATTGGGGGGGAGGGCGATGTACCCAGCCTGGCACGACGGGCAGCAATGTTGTTAAATCCTACATTCCCAGACCTGGCACACATAGAGCGGGAATAATATTAACCCTAACAGGGCGGAAAGCCACACGGTTGCCTCTGACTTAGAGTGACTGTTCACCCTGGCGCGGAGGGTGACTGCTTTTCCGCTGTGCCAACCCCCGGCTGCAAGTGAACAGCACACAGTGCTGGAATATAGGTCATGCGATCGCTGATGCCTCCTAGCTGTTGAACATTTTGCATTCTCGAGAGCGACTTAGGACATTGGACAGATCTATTTTTGCTTGACTTGGTTTGTATGTCCTGAAAGTTCCTCTCACTCCATCCTTCTCAATATATAAGAGAAAAACCGTACAGAAATATAAGAGAATTGGAAGCAGAAAAAAACAAAAAAATTTACGCAAAAAGAAACTGGGAATTGTGTAAAATTTTGGAAAATCAGCTGCAGTGTTTTATTTATCACGGTAGAGGCAAACAGTGTCTGGCTGGGCATCATCAGTAAACAGAAGTTTTAACCCCATTTCAGGACGACCCCTTTATATGCCAATTTTAGTGATTTTGTATATATTTCCTTTATTTATAAAATAAAAACTAAAATCTGTTATTTTGTTATTTATATAATAAATATCATATATATTACATTTTCTTCTGTCCCACAGCCAGCAGATGGTTTTCTAAGCAAAAGTCATTGGGGGGGAATTTATCAAAACGGGAGCAGCCAGAATCTGGATCAGTTGCCCGTGGCAACCAATCAGCATCTCTGTTCGGTTTGCTCAATTTAGATTTGAAAATGAGAGATAGAAGCTGATTGGTTGCAGTGCAAATCTGCTCCAGATTTTGTCTGCTCCAGTTTTGATAAATTTCCCCCCCCCCCATCATGTTTTCACCGGGCTGACTTTACTTCTATGCTTTAAATAGCCTGTGCTGTGTCTGAATGGCAATTACACACAAGGAGGGCGGGGAGGGCACACCTACTCATCTGGCCCCATATAGATTGGGGGTAAACTAAATCTGTTCAAAAGTGAGCAGCCAGTGCTGGGCTTTCCTCTTAGAAAGCCCAGCATGGCTGGCAAAATTGACATCACGGAAGCACCCTGTTTTAAGGGCCCAATAAGATTTATGCATGTGACCTTCTGCGGTGCATTACAGTGCCATTCATCATGAACAGCACCCCGATGCGCTATGCATTAGCAGCTAACACGCAGCAGTGCAGCACGTTGCACATACTGTGGTGCGCTGCGGTGAAAAGAAGGGGTGCGCTGCGGTGAAAACGCACAATAACTGACAGCATAGGAGTTTAAGCAGAACTCTGGGTAAAAATCTTTTTAGCCCTTGAAGTGGGGCTTCCCACACACTGCAAGGGTTAAGTGCTCATCTAGGGAGGAAAATAAAGTTATACTCACCCGACCCTTAGAGCCGGCGTCCTCCTAGACTGATCTCTTCTGCCTTGCTACCCCTCTTGATCTCAGCTTCCTATTCCATGTAACAATGTAGCAACATTCATTTATTTACTGTATATCAAGCTGTTTCTATGTAACTTTACCCCCCAACCAGCCCAACAATTCAGAGGTCCTAATTTATCTGCATTGACTGGTTCATTCGTATTAATAAAATGGAAAATAACAGCGCCACCTCCTGGCCATCTACGGGTATGACGACCAGTGTGCCCAACCTCAGATTTTGGTATAAGGCAGTGGTGGCGAACCTTGGCACTCCAGCTGTTTTGGAACTACAAGTCCCATGAGGCATTTCATGGCTCTGACAGCCACATACATAACTCCCAGAGGCAGATGCATGTTGGTATTTGTAGTTTTGGCACAGCTGGAGTGCCAAGGTTCGCCACCACTGGTATAGGGCAATATGTAATAAGTCATTAGACTGACACTTATAACGATGGAAGAAGACGGGTTGTTGCTGCGGATAATATTCATGTGATACCCGGCATGTAACGGTGATCACCACTGATCCCAAGACCATCACACTGCATCACACTGGAAGGAAGGGTTCTTATTCATAAGAG